CAATCTGGGCCGTTCGTACGCGCTTTTGATCTAGGTCGTCCGAGCGCGCAAAAACAGATCTCAGCTGTTCGATCGCACGCACGCAGATCGCCACGTGGCTCCCTTTCGCGTGGCCTCCCGCGTCAGTGTCTCTGCCACGCGGCGTGTCCTAGTTGGCCGGGACTGCTGACCAGGCTGCTGACGTGACGTAAGTTTTCTAAATTGTGTTTTAACCTCCCGATTTTCGATTTTCTTTTTAAAAATACCCCATAACCCAAATTTTCACTCATTTTTTCCAAAATTATTTTCATTTAAATCTCAAAAATAATTTTATCCCTTTTATTATTATTATTATTTTTATTTTTATTTTTATTTAATTAAATTAAACTAAATTAAAACCATATATTATTACATAATAAATTATTATATTCATCTAAAAATTACAAAAATAAAAATAAAAAAAATAAAATAATATTAATAAAAATAATAATAATTTGGGGTGTTACACGTCCAATGCATCAAACTCCCACTTCACAACCCGAAGGTGAAACTCCAAGTTGTTCAAGATCGAGCAAATTAAGACGTTTGGGTACTATCCTAGAAAATGATTATCTATTTGAGAAAACTTGAATGATTGTTGAGGCACTCAATAATATGATATCAGCAAAACATGTTTCATTGACTTAGCTGTACGAAGATATTGATCGTTTCAGTCTCACTGAAGATAAAAAATCACAAGCTTATATTTATCTTTTGAAAGAATCAAACATAGCTTCTGGTTTCTTGAGTTGTCCTCCTGAAGATCGCAAGAATCTCCTAAAGAATTTGTATTCAGAATTAACTAACGATATATATTAAAATTTAAGTTCGTTTATAAAAACTTATTACTTTGTAATCTTTGTTTTTTTTTTTTAATTTTCTTTGCTTTTGGAGGTATTTGAAAACGGAAGATGTTTTTATCGACGTGCAATACCTGAATTTAGATGTAGGAATGTTGTATAATTTATGTTGCATGATATATTATATTTCTCTTTATAGTTAAGTCGGAATTTATGTAAACACCTCTACTTATTTACTTTATTACGATGGTCTAATTTATATTTTAATCTATGTTAGACTAATTTACATTTAATAATAAATGATGATGTTATAAAATGTTGGTATTTAAAGTAGTCGAACTAGTGTTGTATTTTTTAAGTTTTTATATTTATAAAATTATGTATTTTTTATTTATTTTTAGACAATATAATTTATTTATTTTATTATATATATATGTGTTTATATATTTAATTATATATTTTTTATATGTAAATATGTATTTATACTTATATTTTTAATATTATATATATAATTGATTTAATTATATCAATTTTATTATATTTATATATTTAATTATATATATACATAAATTTATATATGTATTTATATTTTTTATATAAAAACATATATTTATATATTCAATTAAATTCATTTAGTTATATTTTTAAATATTAATAAATCTTTTAAATAAGAAACCGTACCCAACATTAATTAATTATTATACAAATTTTCCAAATCCTTACCGGTTTCCATTCAGCTCCACTGTAATCTTTTTTCCTTTTTTTTTTTTTTTGAGAAAATCCGCTGTAATCATTCTTCATTTTGCTGTACCAGCCTGAAATTTAGCCAGATTCATCCGGGTGAATGAAATTCATTTCGACTGAACCTAGATGCTTCTTGCGGGAGAGAATAATTCAGGAAGATCTGCTTGTAATTGCTTACACCACGTAAGTACTTCTTGACTATCTGCCACCTCTATTTCGTGCATCTCTGCCCACCATTATTGCCTGCTTTTTTTTTTTCCTTTAATTTATTCGTTATTCGTGTTATCATTGTTATCATTGGTAATTATTATTATAAGAATATATTTAAATTTCTCAAAAAAGTATTATCCATGATGAATGAATTAGCGGAATAGATAAATGATATCTAATGAGTAAATGAAGTATTTTGTAGAATTTTGTCTTTATGAGGGTAGCTTGATGAAATTGAGGATATATTACGTTAATTCTGCTTGAAATTGATTCAGATTTAAAATTTTACCGTACAGATTGTTGATATGCAGTAGTGTAAAAAAAAGAGGAAATTGCAGTGAAGAATCCGTAGATGGGTAGGAATATTGGCTTAAAAGTCGACGCTTAGCTGGTAGCTTGTAGAATTTGAATATCCCTTTTTCTTCTCCTGGACACTAAAAGTCCCTAAGGGGGTCAAGAGTTTTGGACACAGAGAATTTAGTAGAAAAACAAAAGCTTATTTGAATTGGTGACTTCCTCAAACTTCAAATGTTTGATTTTAGCATTTGTTTAACCAACAAATTTAGAGCAGTGGAGAAGCAAGACTGATATGTAATGCCTCCTATACCTTAGTGCCTGCCAAAAGTTTTCCTGGTGTTTGTATTTAAAGAATTCGTTACTAGTTGCGTGACTCTGGTAACCAATGCACCAAGTGAATAATGAGAAACAAGACTGATATGTAATGCCTCCTATACCTTAGTGCCTGCCAAAAGTTGTCCGGGTGTTTGTGTTTAAAGAATTCGTTACTAGTTGCGTGACTCTGGTAACAAATGCACCAAGTGAATACACATCAGGTGGGCTGATCACCTTGCTACTAGGTGAACTGAACACCAACTCTTGGCGGAATGAGCACCAGTGTTAGGGGAATTAGCCACCCACGCCCAAACTGGTGATTGTATTACTTGTACCAAGTAGATTGGACTTAATTGGCGTCTAGTGAACTTGTCACCAGCGTCAGGTAAACTGCTTGGCCTTGTTAGCATCAAGTAGACTGCCTTATGTTAGGGTGGCAATCCACCTATGATGGACTCACTCGTGCAAAGTAGATTGGACTTGTTCACCAGCATCAGGTAAAACAGCTTGACCTCTCCAGAATCAGTTGGATTGCTTGACATCACCTGTGTGGTAGGGGAATTGGCAGCCCGCACCTGATGAACTGTCATTTGCCAAGTAGATTGGACTTGGTCACCAGCATCAGGTGAATTGTTTGACCCCTCCAAATGTCAGCTGGATTGATTGATCTCACCTGCGTTTGGGGAATTGCAATGCATGCTTGATGGAGTGCCAATTGTGCCAGTACTGATAGTACTTTGTCACCAGCATCAACTGAACCGGTCACCAGCATCGGGTGAACAGTTCGTCCTTGCCAGCGTCTATTGGACAACTTGGCCTGTTAGCGGAATTGGCAACCTACACCTAATGGGCTGTTACTTGTGCCCCGTAGATTTGACTTGGTCACCAGTGTTAGGGTGGACTGTTTGTCCTCACTATAAAAAATATGCACTCGCATAAATTATGTATTTATAGATACAACAACGTGTTTTTACCGGGTTGAGCACTATGCAAATTAACTTGTTATTCTTTACTATATTTGTTGTTAAAAACTATTGTTAGCAACATAGCCATAAAAATTATAAACTTCAATTATTATTAAGTTTTAGTGATGTGCACAAGGAAGCTAAATATTTATTTTCCTTGAAGATTTAAAATGGATTAAGGTAATTAATGGTCTGCCAAAAAATAGAGTATATGGTGGGTGCAATCAGATATTAGTGCACGTGTTGCTGAAGTTGGAAATTTACTTTTCAAGTAAAAGTTTAGTATTTAGTTGTTATTAGAAGATGAACCAGATCTTTCTCAGTGGTATTAGAAATCTAAAGAAGCTACAAATAGAAAAATAGTTACTCCTCTTTGATGAATTGCAGTCTAATAGGCTAGGATCCAATTATTCCTTTTTGCTTTTTTTGCAATTATGGTATGTTGGGCCGGTTTTCCATTATTGAGGCTAAGGTACCCCCCCTTTCTATCAAAGGTAAATTCATACTGGGATGAAGGGATTCAGGGGAACAGTTATTGCAGCCTAATCCCAACATAATTCGATCTTAAAGTACTCTTAAAAGTTTACATTTGCTTACTAATAAGTTAGCCTTTTAGATTAGGAGCCATTAAATTATAAAATAATAATAATAAGAGCTTGTTTCATTGAAAAAAATAGTGTACCATTGAACTATATATGAAGTTTCTATTTCTTCCTGTCTATAATTCTAGGGTTAATTATTTTAGTTGTTGACTATAATTGTTGTTACAAATTAATTTTAATTTTAGCAGCTAGGTTCTTGAACAATCATAAATATTTTAGAGTATTTTAAAAAACTTTAGACTATGTAGTTTAAGAATTATAAATCTAAAATAATAACTAACACTTCAATTACATTCTTTGATGAATCAGTACAATGGCAATGGATTTAGCCTAACCACTGGTACACATATTAGTGGATTAGCCCTCGGAAGGGTGATTCCTTGTCCTTCTTCCATGTTAACAGTCCCATTCCCTCCGTTGACCCTCCATTCAAAGCACTGAATCATAGCAGCAAGGGTTGTGTGAACAAGCTGTAGAGCTAGTGATGTTCCAGGGCACCGTCTTCTTCCGCTCCCAAATGGCAGCATTTGAAAATGTTGTCCTCTCACATCCACCGCTTTCCCCTTTTCTCTTTCTTCACTTATCACAAATCTCTCTGGACTGAATTCAAGTGGCATCTCCCAGTGGTTTGGATCCCTGCCAATTGCCCACACATTGACAAAGAGTCGAGTTCCTGCAGGAATCTGGTAACCATTGATGGTGCATTCTTCTGTTGATTCTCTCACAATTAATGGGCCTGTTGGGTGGAGCCTTAGGCTTTCCTTCACCACAGCTTGCAGGTAAGGAAGGTTAACAATGTCTGCTTCTTCTACTAATCTGCTTCTTCCTACTACATTATCAATCTCTGCTCGTGCTTTCTCCATTATGTTTGGGTGATTGATTAGCTCTGCTAATGCCCATTCTATGGTAATGGGTGATGTGTCAGTTCCAGCAGCAAAGATGTCCTGTGGAAGGATGAAATCAGACTTTTTGAACCGTGTTTTATTTAAAATCATGTACTTCTACACTCTGGACGAATGATGAGTTTTTGTTACCTTGATTAAATTCTCAACATATTTTCTATTTTAGAGACTATGTATGATTACTTTAAGAAATGTGTTTTAAATTAGTAAACTACTAGGTGCTTAGAGTAACTTAAAGCAGCAAAGTGATTACTTAGACAGTAATAGCTATGGATAAAAGGGAAAATAATTATATTGATTGGATGAAAAAACAAACAAATTAACTGGATGAAAAAATAAGCATCTACAAAAACTTAAGAATGTAGTGTGTTTTTTTTCTTGTCTAAAGTTACATTTAAGTATCTAATAAACACCTTGCTAATACTTTATCAAATTAGTCGATTGGCGTAGAGTGTTTAAAGTTATTTATAAGCACCAAAAAGCAATCCCCCTTGTATCATCTTTGAAATCCATAAAATTTTATCATTAATATACCCTTTTCGAGTAAGAATTAGAATCAACTGCCAATCATTTAGAGATGGAAGAGGGATCTTGTGGAATATGAAAAATTTTGATATAACTCTACATGTCAAGATCACTAATAATTATTAATTAGTTGAACAAAAAGCCCTGGAATCTTTACTCATAATCGACTAATAGATTTCAATTTCAATAATTTGACATGCATTATTTTAGGAATTAAACTAAGGCTGGTTATACCTATGTTATATGTGCATGTATGTTTATACAATATCTAACTATTTCCATCTATACAAAGAAAATAATGCTTATAAAAGAGGGATGACAAGCGGCACTCTAAGACAATTAGAGATGACATACAAAAGGTGTGGATCTTTTATTTTCAAAAGATAATTTATTTTCCAAATGAAGGTTTTATTTTTTACCAATCAACACCATGCCAATTAACATCATGCAAAGTTGTAGCTCTTCATTCTTCACTTCTTCTTCTTGTGTTCATAACATTGAATTTAACAAAAGCATATAAAAGATTTTTTTTTACTTAAGAAATGGGGAAGAATGTACGTGACAATCTATACAATAATGATGATGTTGGTGCTGGATCTGTTTCCCATTTCTCAGGAGTTGGCTGGTGTTGCTTAGGGTCCCACTCCTTTCCATTTTGAGAAATAGACGGTTTAAGGTGGACCACTTTTGTGACCTTATCAGCATTGGGTGGAGTGAGGTTAACCTGGAAGGTTTCGGCAGGCCAGGAGGTGGTCTCATGTGAAGAATTGGATCAAAGGCTGAAGTAAGGAGTTTTTAGCAATGGAAGCCCTTGAAAATAATGGGTTGATTTCTAAAATTGATCTTATGGACAGAAAGGAAACTGGAGGGGACCTTCTTGAGATTGAGAGTGAAAGGGGAAAAGTTGCCAAAGTGGATCTAGCTTAATATCCTTTTTCACAGGATAGCTAACTTCCACCTCAGAAACAGTTTCATCTCTAAGGTGGTGGTTGGTGGGTTGTAATTTCAGTTGGGTAGTGGCTTGAAGGATGTGGTTAGGAATTATTGTCATTGTTTGTACTCAGTTGAGCAGTCCTGGAGACCCAATCTTGACAGTGTGAATTCTAAAGGCTTGCGGCTAATGAGTTGGGGTGGTTGGAAAGGCCTTTCTCACCCGCGGAAATTCTTGATACTTTAATGAGCTATAATAATAAAAAAGTCCATGGACCAGATGGTTTTACTATGTGCTTCTTACAAAAGAGTTTGGAGGTTATCAAGGATGAGATTTTTTTTTTTTGTTTTTTGTAGATTCTTTATGATACAAGTCAGTTCGTGGCCTTGCTTAACTCTACCTCTATGGTCTTGATCACCAAGATCACAGGAGCTTTGGATATAGACTTTTGGCCTATTAGTCTTATTGATAGTGTTTACAAGCTTATTGCCAAGGTTTTCATAATCAAACTAAGCAAGGTCGTAGAGCAGAAGTTGGGAAAGAGGCAAAATGTGTTTGTTGAAGGGCAGCAGATCACAGAGGTTGCCTTGATAGCTAATAAAGTTGTTGATTCGGTGTCAAGTGTGGAACTGGGGGAATCTTGTGCAAGCTTGACATTGAAAAGAGTTACGACATGTTTCTTGGCCTTTCTTGTTCTACCTTCTTAGAATGATGGATTTTGGGGAGAGATAATGTGGGTGGATCAAGAGCTGTGTCTCTTTTGCTTCATTTGCTACTTGATCAATGGCAGCCCTTCTGATTTCTTTTGCTTCTATAGATTTGAGACAAAGGGATCTTTTTTCTCCATTCCTTTTCAGTTTGGTAATGGAGTCCCTTCATTGGGTGATCCAGATGGCTAGGTCTGTAACTTGATCCTGGTCATGGAGGTGGGCAATATTAAATTGAGAAAGGAAATCACTTATCCCCTGTTTGTAGATAATACTCTTTTCTTTTACAAACCCGTGAGAGAGCACTCAGTGAATATTAGTTGTACTATTGTCTGTTTATCTGTCTTTAGTCTCAGTATTACTCCTAGTTACGTCTTTTTCAAGAGTGATGTCCAAGAAACCACCACCTCAAGCGTGAAGCTTAAGAGATTTAGTTGTTACTTCTAGTTGTTTTTCTATTTTCAATCCCAATTCTTAGACGTAGTAAATAAGAATTCCTAAATTGCACCAAATCTCTAAATGAGCAAATTAATCTCTAATTTGTATTGCATCACTACTTTGGGTAGCCCCTTGGAGCCTAACACAAGGACTCTAAAGGACCCTATCTTAACCAAGATGGACAAAAACTGCTTTCTGCTTGGAGGAATACTTGCTTGTCCAAGGGCAGTAGACTTACCTTAGTTAAAGGTACTTTGTTGAAATTGCCAATCTACTTCATGTCGCTTTTTCTCATTCTTCCTAAGATCGCTGGAAGGCTTGAAGCAATCCATTACCGGTTTCCACCGAACAACTTCGAGGAGATACCATCTCATAACTTTGGGATATTGTTAAAAGACAGAAAAAGTGTGGGCTTGGTAGAAACTTTTTGGGGTTGATGAATAGGTCTCTTTTAGCCAAATGGCTTTGGAATTTGTGTCGTCAAAGAAAGATTTACAAAGGTAGTCCACTGTAGCTAAATACGGGGGAAGGGAGAGTGTGGCAAACTGCAACAATCTGGCAGCCTCGCGACATCAAGCTTTGGAAGGGGATTAGTACAAATTGGAGTAAGGTTTTGGATTTAGTTTGTTTTAGTGTGGGCAATGGTCAAAGGGTACACTTTTTGTCATGACTGATGGTGTGGTAATACTTTGAAAGTTTACCTCCAAGGTTCTTGGACTTGCAAGATCTGTGGAGTCCTCTATTAGCGACCTTGTGACATGGGATAACTCTTCTACCTCCATTTGGGACTTAGCTCTCTCTCATAATCTTAACAATTGGGTTTTCCAAGGCTTCCTGATAAGTTGATGTTGCCTAAAATGGCGATTTCTCGATAAATAATAAAACAACATTTGTGTTGAGGGTTATTGTGTGTATGTGTATGTATATGTGTGTGTGTGTGTACTTTAGATGTTGGGTACTTGGAATGTTTTTGGTAGGAAGTTGCTAGAATTCTAAAGATATATGTTTCCTTATGACTAGTAATTCTC